GATTGTACTGTATGCAGGATAGACCAAGCAAGGTATCTATCACTCATCTGCAGTGGCCATTTAATAATTCTTGAATTCTGATAAGAAGAAAACGACTAAACTATTCTCTCTTTTTAGATAAGGATTCACCATTCCCTCAACATTATAGTTTGGATTCTACTTGCACCCGAGTAGGGTAACTGATAAGCCTTCCTTCCAAATTTATATATATATATTGGTCATATTTCAAATGAAAATGTAAAATATCAATTTAATTTGAGTGTGAATTGTATGTATGGTGCGGGGATACAAGCTAGCTAGCATATATATACGTTTGAGTGGAGCTTCATCCTCTCTTTCTCTCTCTCTCTCTCTTCAATTATTATTATTTATTAGGACAAAGGATAAGATTGGTGGTACAATGGGCCTACTCTAACCATGTAGATCCTGTATGTTAGTCATTCCTTGTCTCACCCGTTGGATTTTAGTCTCATAAGAGATTAAATTTAATGGATTTGATTGATCAATTACATGAGAAATTACACCTGTATATTTGATTGAAAAATTAGTTTCTCTCTTACAAAACCTAGATTAAATGTGCCAACATTACTGTTCATAGGGTTGCTAGTCATGGACTATATTTAAATAGCACCCATACTTGTCTATCTTCCTTAAAACAAAGGTGAATGCTTTTGTTATGAATTGCGAGGCGTGCAATCATGGATTCCAAATCCTAAATTTCAAAACACAAAATATTAAGTAACAAGAGGGAGGGGAGATGAGCTGAGACCAGATCTGCTCCTTACACTTGACACCTCACATGCACAATATTCTCAATGCATGGTGGATGTGCCTGTGAGGCACCCATTTATGAGGAGCAGATCCTGCTTCAGATGAGCTAGGGTTGTAAATTGGGCTATTACCTACTCTACGTGTGGGAAGAATGGGTAGCTCAGAGTCTCAGACCCGATGATAAAGAATTAAAGAAATGTGTCATCCTCTGGCTCTGTGATAGCAGCACATATATAGCAGTCAGCAGCCCTGATGATGCCATGTGGGGCAGAAGCCCCATCAAGCCTAATTAAAGAAAAAATGCGATAAACACATAATACAAAGAACAGGCGATCGAGCAGCGATTGCGATTTGCAAACCATAGAGTAGAAACATTGCCTTTACGAGGATGGGCGAAGGGCACATGCCGTAGTATCAACCTATAAATTATAGGGTAAGTTTTAGAAATTGGATTAAAACTTGTCCTATTATTTAAAATATCCCTAACATGAAAACATTAAAAGAATTATTTTACCTTTCATTTTTTTTTTAATTTTCAAAATGATAACAATTGAATAAACAACATTTTATCATATAATTTTGGGATTTTCAAGTCTTGCTCTTGCTCCAATCTCAAAGTTCTCAAAGGCTGATGAACGGCCCGGCTCACCCACATGTAAAATGGGATTTCCTACTAAAATTTTGAGTAGAGACTGATGAACGACGACTCATCAAAACCTTTGATATTTCGATACAGGCATCCTTGGACAACACAAATGTGTTAGGTTACTAATTATTCATCAACTTGTCATTAAGCCTCCATGTTCGGGCTGACCAAAGATAACACTCATATTATCCTATTACATCTCATTTAATACCCCAATCACTATAACTGGAGATAATTAACAAAATAAAATAGAAAAATAAATAGTATTTTAAAGATTATTTCCAATGGCTTTCAAAAATAAAGATTATTTCTAGCAATCTGATATTTTCTTCAAGATTCTATGAGAGATCCTTTTGTTTTTTTGTTTTTTTTTTTTTCCTTCCCCCAAGTAGTTGAATAAGAGATGGGTTGGCTTTTTAAGCACACAGAATTGATTATGACTATTTTACTTGGAAAGGGAAAGTAAGGCAAATACCGAGCTGAGAGAAATTGCAACTAAGGCTACGTTTGTTCGCAATGTAAATTTAGATTTACATCGAGGATTATTACACCGATTGGTTCATGAGTGTAAATTGGGAATTGGATGTTTGCCCATTTAATACTCTTCACGTTTAGTAAATCATTGAGGTAAAAGTTCTTGCAGTCCTGGTTGGTCGGCCAAGAAACAAAGCACCGCGAGCAGCAATGAGTGGCATTTCAGATGGGGAAACTGGTGACCAGGGGTTGCAACAGGAGAGGCTCTCGCATGTGAGCGACGTATCAAACCCATTTCTTGCACTTGGCTTCTTCTGTTGAAGCTTCATCCAAGAATATAATGGGAGCTTGCAATCGCACCAGTGGACGAAGAGAAGCCCATATACATAGAGTCCATGAAAACCGAAGAAAGATCAAGTGATATCGACAGTAGGGGAATCTCAGGTTTGGGGTAACAAAGTAGAGCTAATGTTGCATTGAGTTGCTCCTCTGCACCATCATACTCTATCCAAACTTGCATTGGATCTCCGCTTATGAGGTGCAGGCTCTTGTTGATCCCTTCTTTGCTTGAACAATAAGTCGCTGGAGTTTATTCAATCAACTTAAGGTTGTTCATATCGATCCCAACATGATTATCATTTATATCAGCAAATTCGGGGCTAAGAATTGTATCTAGTTCTACGGCGAAAACGTGATTGGAGAAGTCTCCGTTGTTGGTTTCATTGAACAGTCCCAGGTACTAACTTGCCACTGCACCTGGGAACCCCATGAATGGCGAGAAAGCCAAGGTGATGCCATGGCCACTCACAGTAGTCAATTGGGGAACCATGGCAAATACAAAAGTGGTAGAGAAGGAAAGAGACTGGGGATATTCAGGTGAAGTGGAGTTAAACCTCAGAGGAGATGGGTACAAAGCATGACCAATTGGTTCTTGCCCCAGCGACCACTGTTGTCGCCGACGGTCAACCACGGAAAAAGGGGCTACGCCCCGCCATCATCTTCCTCCGACGGTCAACCATTGCTATCACCACCTCTCTGTTCTCGTCAGAGGAAGATGATGAATAAATAACCCTGTTTCGAAAGAACCTTGCCTCGACCGAAGGGGTAACGGATAGATCGCGGGGTTGAGTTTTACACTTTAACCTTTAACTGTTGGACAGATCGGTAAAGTTTTACATCGATTTTAGCGATGTAAAATTTTCACTGATTTTCGATGAATTTTCTGACAAGAATGGACTTTTACACCGATTGATGAGGTATATTAATACCTCTACCAAATGCCTGCAAAATAGAACCAAGGTGAAAAGTTTACCCCGGTTCTCATTTACACATCTACCAAACACAGCCTAATCTCCTTTTCAATTGTTTTTGATATCTTTCATTAGCATTTTTTTTTTATTTTTTTGAATATTTTCTTGTGGGTTTGTCAAATTTATTAATAACTAAATCTGTTTTTTATTTAATTGAACTTAATAAAGTTTTGCTAATTTTCTTTCTTGGGCCAAAGTTGTTGGAGAAAGAAGATTTGAATTTTTGAAGTCAATGGTTTATTCAATTAAAGTCTTCCTCCAATTGAAAGCTGCTCTGCTCCATGTGGTTTCTGTAGTGTGAGTGGAAAATGTAGCACCCATCACCACTTAACTATGTGTTGATGTCTTCACTCTTCATCCAAATTAAATGTCGTTGCTGTATTTGTTGTCGTGAATAAATGGTTGTTCGTAATTTTTCTGATTAGAGGAAAGGAGAATAAGATGATCAATTTCTTGTTTGTGTGAAAAGATGTTTTGAAAATTTGAAGGATAATGAAAAAATAAAATAGACATTTTCAATTATTAGATAATAAAAGATAAAATAAACCATGTGGTGCAATAATTGCAACAAGAGAGGATCAGGGGAACTTGTGAGAATATTTTAAAGCCAGGCCCGTTTGCTTTTCGGCGTATTACTTGATCGGTAATGAGAATAATAAAGTTTAAGTCTCGGCCTGTTAGATTTTCGGTCTATTGAAAAAAAAAAAACATTTACCCTATTTAAGAACTAACGGCCCTTCAAAAACTTGAGGGGTAGCTTCAAGCCTTTTAAGTAATTAACCACATAGAATGGGGTAGAGAGGAGAAAGTACTTTTAGTTATCAACAATCCTTGCCCTAGAATTAAAATGGAAATTACGGAAATCAGAATCATACGGTGCAAGTTTGGTTTGAGTTTGTTAGGAATTAAATGCCCATCCAATTCCACTGGTTCATGACCATGGATTCGTGAATATATAATATAATTAAAAACACCTCTCTGGCTCTCTCTCTCTCTCTCTCTCTCCCATCGCCATAACAACAACAGACAACAGAAGACAGATGGACAGACTGAAATTACGGTAAAAACACGAAGGCCTTTCCGTAATTGGCCTACCCTTTCTACTTTCTAGTTTGTTAGCTTTGTGCCCTACCAGATAAGCATTACACGAAAACCTAACCCTATTTTACTTTTTGGGTCAATCGGTGTCCAACTGTCGATCTCACGTCTCACCCAAGATCAAGAGCAAGACGCCAATCAATATATCATCATCATCTTCTTAACTTCTTTTAAAAACTTTCAAATTCACAAAAAAACCATATAAAAATAGTGAAAGAGTCTTGATTAAACAAAATTTTCTTTAGCTTCTGTTTTGTTTAAAGGAAAAGGTAGGGAAATCCATACAAAGTTTGTAAAGATTTTCCTACCTTTCCCTACTTTTTCCTTCAAACCAAACACAGTGTTAGAGATTCTCTTACCCTCTTCCCTCCACTAAAAACTAAAAAGCTTTGCACCAAAGCATTGAAAATCGCAGTACTGGTCTCCTACTCCAAAAAAACCAATCTATATCTATCTATCTATTATATATACCTGTGTATACTATAATAAAACCCTTTGGTGAATGCTGCTAATGGTCACTCCCTCCTGTCAGACGTGACATTTGGATTGGTCTACGTACCCAACCATTCTCACCAACTCAAAATGCTTAACTCCCAAGTAATGAATATCTAATATTATTCTATGTATATGTAAACTAAAAACAACATAACCACCGGTAAGATGACATATCGCCGTAAAAAAAAAATTAAGGCGTAATAATATGTATGGACAAAAAGAACCTTCTTTGCCTTCACAAAGGAAGTAAGATGTAAACATATTCGTCTTCCAGACTGCAGCTACACATCAGATCAAACTTCCTTACTCATCCAACTATCAACTATCTGATTCTTCTCTTTCCTTCTCCAAAATCAGGTTTCTCATTTCTCATTTTCTTGTCTGGGCTCGAAAAATAAAACCAATAATTAACATATAATAAAAATACCACTTACACATTCGGACTCCAAAGGCCCCATAAACGCGAATTGAACAACCCCAACACGTCCGGTAACACCTTCCTGGCCAAGCCCCTGTGGTTGCTGGCCGGAATTTGTACGGCGGCCTCCTCCATAACCTGCAGGTTCTCCGTCGCGTACTCCACCACATCGCCTTCTTCATAGTCGTCTTTCTTCTCCACATCTTCCGATTTGTCTAACAAAACAGTCGGAAAGGCGTCATTTTCCGGCACTAGGCAGCTCGTCTCCAGCTCTGCTAGTACAGATTCCGGCACTTCGGGCTCTTTCTCCGGCGCCATTGTCTCCGCTTCCGGTTTCTCGATGACGAGACGACGAGCCATCTTGTCTTTCTTCTTGTTTCTGCCACTCTTCTTTGAGTTCTCTCCGTTGGTCAGATGCTCTTCGAAGGCCTCAATGGCTTGATGTATGAGCTCTCTGTTGGGTGACGAATCCCACCTGAACCAGTAGCTCGTGTAGCAGTCGAAGCACCCGCAGTCGAACATGGGGGGCTTATGAACAATACTACCACCGTTGTTGGGCTTCTTGCACTTCTTCTTTTCTTCGACCATCGAAGGTGGATTGGTCGTCTTCATGGACCTTGTAATCATGTAAGCCAAAACCTCACGGTCCTCTGGGGAAAGAACGGAGGCCAGGGCAAGAATCGCAGCTGGGAGGAGCTTTAACACGGATAGGGCATCTCTTGTTGAGCAATAATAAGGAAGAGAGGACGAGGAGGGGGAAGGATACACTTTACCTTTGTTTTTAGGGTAGAGATTCTTCATCTGCGGTTGATGGATGGGAGGGAAACCCGTTTTCTTCTCTTTTATTTTTTTTTTTTTGTTCTGGAGGTTTTGTTCTTGTCCCCCGGCTTTTGGGTTGCGACGGGAAAGGCAGCTAAGTTGCAGAGATGGTGGCGCAGGCTCGCTTTCTTGGGATGGTATGAAGTTTTGAGGAGAAGAAAGAAGGGAGGAAGAAAAGGGAAGAAAGGAAGATTGTTTCTATTTATCTTGATAAGCACGGCAGACAGGGAGGTCATTGTCTCAGAGGCAGCGCTTATTTAAAAATTAAAACCAGTTTCTTAGCTTGCTGTTTTTCGTTTTTCCAGTATAAACTATAAAAATAAAAGAGAGCAGACCAGACCAGACTCCATTCTCCAGACCAGAGGGTTAAGTAAAGGGTTTTACTTTACTTTACCTATCTTCGTGCGTCCGACCCACGCAGACCGGTTAATACCAGTGTTTTGGAATCCTGTTTGGGGAGGGTATAATGGTCATTGTGTGAACTGATGGAAGCAGAAAACACCACTGTCCGGTGTCTACTGCCTGCTGTCCATCCGCTGCGTCTACCGAGACAAAAAAATCGAGCTGAATGCTGGAAAACCGGAAAAACCGGAAAAGTGAAAGCCATACGAAATAAAAGCGGTCGATGAGTATGAGATGAAGACAACTGGAATAGTTGAGTGGGTCAGACGTTAGAGGCCATCCGATTGTTGACCATATTTTGACTATTCGTCTATGCGCTATGCTTGTTTTTCTGAATCAGAAGACAGAACACACAGAAGTCGAGTGTGTGGAATGAACCATGGAGGGCCAGTGGGTCGTAACGTTAGCAATAGCAGATACAGCTTTCAATTGCGCTTATTCTATGGTAATAGTTAGTATAAATGACACGGATTGGGTAGCGCATTTAGATGGGCCTAAAAGGAAAAAGGCAAAGCAGATTTTATTGATGATGATTGCCAATGTTAAGCTTTTAATATAGGTATACGCATGTTCAAAGCCCAATATGATGAAAATATTTTATATATATATTGGAAGAGGCCTAAAGTGTGAAACACTTTATGGAGATGGTCTCATCGTCTAAGGACTAACGATAGATATCCTTTCTACTTTGGCACATTTTTTTTTTTTTTTTGTTTATGTGCTTTGTCGTTTTAGTTTATTACTATTTTATACCACTTTGCAAACATGTTGTGTTGTGTGTGGCTAAATTCATAAGTGGGGCGTATTAATTAAAGGAATTTAAAAAGAAAAGAGAGGCTTGGCGTGGGCCCACGGATCAGAACAGTGGCCCATCAGAGGAAACAGGTTCTGGAGGGTGAACAATTTGGTGATTCTTTTAATATACAATTCAAAAGAGGGTGATATTTGCAACCGATATAGCATTCTTATCTAACATACAAACATGATCTTTTCTTTAGAATTAGTTTGCAGGTAAGTATATTATTTATCTGCCTATATTTTCAGAAAGTCCATTAAAAAGATTAAAAAAAAAAAACTAGGTTTACAAAACAAGTAGACATTTAGACAACACCCTTATAGTGGAAGTTGGAGAGAGGTTTGGAATTTGGATTCAATGCAGAATTAGATATCCCAACCCAACCCGAGTCCAGATGGACTACAAAGAGAGTGGTTAAGTGACCCATCAAGAGGCCCGATACACGGCGGGAATATGGTGTGGGACGTTGTGGGGCACAGACTGCATAAAGTGTGGACCCAACCCAAGTGCACGAAACAACTGACATGCTGATTAATTGGTCCCGTAGTCGGCTGATCTGGAATCCCATCCGACCTACCACCTTATTTCATTTATAGCCTCAAAGCTATGAATGCATGGTAGGAGTTACGGATCCCAACAGGCAACAGGCAACAGGCAACACATTTCATTTATCAAATGAAATTAATACTGATTTAACTTAGCAAATGGAAAAGGGGCTTAGAGGGTTTGGATGTGATATCCCAACCCTATCTAAATTTTCAAAAGCAATGATGCTCAGAACTATCTGTCGGATGGGAAATCAAATCATTGTCTACCTCTCAAAATTAACAAGTGGTTTTCGAAAAGATTAAAATGTTTCATCCTTTCCACAAAGAGCAACCCCTGGAATTAAGGTTTGAATCCATTAAAGTTTCATAAGGCATTGCTAATTAGTTATTATTGCCTTTTTTTTTTTAGAAAAGCAATATATATATATATATAGATAGATATTTTCTTTCTTTTATGTGGCAGCTTATCATTACACATCACAATAACCACATTCTACCTTTCAGACATGAACTAGTTGCTAAATTTTAAAGGAAAACCTTGATATTATTAATAGCATCACCCTTCATCGTCTTGACATAATACTTGCCTTTTTATTAAGTGAGGCTTATTTGAGTTGAGTTGAGTTGGTATGCATCTTTTTCTTAGAGGGATTATACCCATTTTTAATTAATAATATATGATAGGACATGTTGAGAATTTTTTGTCCTTTTAACACACGGATATATATATATATATAAAGACTAAAGAGTTGTATAGTTGGATACTAAAATTGAGATAGATTTAATTCACTTCACTTCACTATTAATAGTACACGATTGGAGATTGGTCTATGCTTAATTCAGTCAGTTAGTTGGCCTTTGATGCCCCTTAATTTCTTATTTCTTTTTTTAGACGGATCCGGTCACAGCTCTGCAAACGGATATACATTTTAATAATATATAGTGTATAAATATGTTTCATATTATATATTATTTTATATTTAACTTATATTTTATTTTTTTTATTTATAAAAACTACTAAAAATTGTAATTTAAGGCAAAAATGAAGTTTTTTTTTGCAAAAATAGTGAAACAATACATTGAGACACAAAAAACTCAAAAATTTATCTAAAATAAAAAAAAAAAAATCACTCTAATCAGAATATAAAGTTATAACTTCCAAAAAATTTACATACAAACAGGTCAACAATCAAACCGGCCGAATTAAACGATTCTTGACTAAACCGAACCCAAAATCCAAGCAGAGTGACGATTCGAACAAAATTTTCAAACCGGACAGTTGAAAACATTGGTATAACCGTTCAAATACAAATATGTAACCTTAATATTTATATTGCAATCGGATGTACCCATCCAAGATAAAGTTATTTCCGATCCTTGGTCAAATCTGTCCTTCAGATTCAGTCTTACGGAATGGTCTATCCAATAGCCCGATAGTGATATCGGGCAAGAGTGATATTTCATTCCCAAGGGAGGGGCAGGGAATGAAAATAGTAATCCAATCCTGCCCATCAAACAGTAGAAATCGGAATGATTCTATTCCCATGAACCAAACGGGGCCTAAGAGTGTTGAATGATGAACCTTATTTTTTATGTTATGCATGTCTCCATGTTTGGTTTGGCCTGCCGTAAACATCTCTTCAGTAATGGGGGAATGAGTGTTTTAAGCTTTAAATCCATTACGTAAATTTTACGACGGGGAGCTTTGTGTAATAAGGCCAAAGCCAAAAGCCCAGCCCAGTCCACGCAGCTTAACATCATTGAGGAAAACCCAGCAATGGCATTATTGGCAATAGCTCCTCCTGATCCTGATTCGTGAGAAACAGCAAGAGGAAACAATTTCAATGGTTAACCTGATTGATATTTTCCAGGTACGTACTGTAGTGCTGCAGCATTTATTTGCAGCACAAGGGTGAKAAATTATCAAGGAAGAAAAGAAGAAGTCAATTCATCAAATAAGGAATAACAGAGGTCGTCCTTCAAATTTCAAAACCCAAAACAACACAGCCACAAACTGAATAAAGTTTATCACCTAGCTATGCCAATGGATCACTAGACTACTAAAAAGCAAAACCATTACCAAGTTCAAAGACCATACAATATAAACGAAAGCTTTGTCCATTGTGATGGCCTTTAACACACTTCACTTGACAATGATCAATCAGCCTTCTTTGACTCGGTAGGTGTTGATTGTGCTTTGTTCATGGCTGCGGACCGCTTGTGTTCTGCCATCTTAGAGTGGATTTCATTCCTTTCCTTAAAATACCTCTCAAACGCCCTTGGAAGGAACTGAGGAATCAAAAATCCAAAGAGATTGATGGAGAAATACGCTAAGTTTGCAACAGCCAAGCCCTTTCCAAACCATAGCCACGCAACATCCTACACATTACTAGCACTGAATTCCATTAGTACTTGTACCAAACCCTTTCCTATGCAATATCTCAGCCGAGCTTAGATTTTTCAATTTTGGAATCAGATTTTCAAATCCGAGTAGCATAATGTTTATACACAAATGTAAAAGGAAAGGAAAATATACAATACAAGAAAGAGTAGTAAACAGAACTCCATTTGCATTTTCAGGCCCATGGACTATGGTGAGAGCTTAAGTCGTAGATGGATAATGCAGGCCAGACTTTGTCCCAATCCCAGCCTAATCAACTCAGACTCTCCTTTTGCCTTTTGGTTTAAAAAACTTCATCAATTCATGACTAGCCAAACCAGACGTAACAACCAAGTATTTCTAATAATATAATAAATTCCTTCTAGTTCTAAGATAGTGTTCAATAGTCAACATGAACATTCCTTGATTATTATTATTATTAAGGGAGGGAATTAGGCCATCTCATAAGGAGCAGAACCTTTCTTTGTTTTTGCCTTATCGGTTGAGGTTATTCTAGTACGTACTATGTAGCTGTAGCACAATGCCCATTAAGCTGACGATCCAGCTTACCACTTTGGATTACTATGCCTGGTGATGGTCAGCTGGTCGGCTCTAGTGTAACGCCCAGAACTCGGAAGCCCGTATACGTATACGGAACTTAGAAGGATGATCCAATCCGATCCTTTCAAATGGAGAAAATGCTCCTTCCACAGTGGACGAAAGAGCCACGTGGTGTATATGGATGACGTGGCTTTGGTGAAAGGAGCAGAGTACTCCCTCATGAATCATGATTTCTTAAATCTCTTAATAGAAACGAAGATTGAACTCTTAAAAAGGCCGGGCCCAGTAGTTAGTTTTGGACAGAAGGGACATGGGCCTTACCAGGGTCGGCCCGGTTATGGAGAAGAGAAAGAAAAGAAACGCATGTGAAATGTGATGACTCAGGAGTCAGGACCGAGAGTATACCTTAAGTTGTGCATTAGCAGGCAAGGTCTTGTTAAGCCAGACATCGAATATCCAATTGATGATGATGTAGATCCTTCTCACAGTATAAAGTAACGGAACTAGAGCTCTCACCGGCGGCGAGAACAAGGACAGCCCGCTTATTATGTTCTCCGTCAGTATCTGGAAGGAGAGCAAGAACAGATGCGGCGTGGCAGAGCGGACGGCGTGGTCATCCCCTCTGGCGAACCCTCCCAGAACGTAAGCCAACGGTAAGAACAGCCCTATGGTGGTACCCAACACCACGTAGAGCCGGAACAACTTGCTCCCCTGGAAGATCTCTTCTGACCCCGCCATTGTACTGCCGTGCGCAGGGAAGGCAAGTCGTGAAAGTAGTAGGAGGTAGACCGAGGCGAAGGCCGGGAATATCAAGTCTAAGATTGGGACGAGGCCACTTGCGGAGAAGACCATGATGAAGGCTACTAGTTGGAGCTCTATTACCCGCAATGAACCCATAACTCCCCCCATGGGTGCCGATGCCTGTGGTTGCTGTTGGATGGGCTTCTGCTGCGCTTTCGTGCCGGTGGCTGATGTGGTCGTCTCCGGCTCCTTCCAAGAAGACACGGCGACAGATACCCCCGACATGTCTCTCCAATTCTCTGTTTTATTGCGCTGTGAGCTTTGCTGTTTCTACTTGTACGGGCTTTTGCTCGGGTTTTTATTTGTTTCGGTATGGAAGTTGGTTCTCAATAATTTTCACATCAGATTGATTACCAGGCAGAAAACAAAACAACAATGAAAGGAAAGGAAATAAATAGTGGATTTTGATGATTTGCTCTAGTCTGCTACTAGTGTCTGGTCGGTGGAGGTCGAGAGGAAGGCCGGAAGGGACTAGGGAGAGGAGACTTTATTGGGTGAGGAAGAAAGGTATATGGGAGTGTTACAAGCCCCGAAGAGTGGAGTGGGGGGATGCATGAAGGCACCACGTTTGGTTGTGAAACAGAGAAAGAGGCATGTAGCAGGACACGCGTTGGTGGGCAAAGGCAACATGTGATAAGTGAGTTCCAAGTGGCGAGGGAAATTTTATATTGCCGAGCTTCTGATCTGCTGTTTCGGATCCCGAAAGCGAAAGCGGACGTTTTCAAATTGAGTAATGACTGGACTCAAGTTCATACCATCTATACTGTAAACCCTCTTAATTCTTCAAAGATAAAACATTAATAAGTTTGGAATTTATTAGGGTTTTAATCTGTTATATATAGAACGCTTCTGGCTTCTGGGGCAGCGGTAGGTAGAATGTTTAGACAAATAGATGATTAACTATGACTTACGCACATGGAAAGATCAACGGAGAAGGACTGCTGGCTGGAGGGGGAGTTACAATTCGCGTTGAGTAGTGACTAGTGAGTGATTCAGGACATTTTTAGTGTATCTCGTCGGTTGTCATTGGCCGGTTTCAAAATATCGATACGTATTGGTCGATACTTTCGTTGTAGAACTTTTCCGAAGTGTTTTTATAGTTGGTGTATTGAAAGTTTGACCGGTTTAAGGGGTGGAAAAGCCTTAAATCAATCTCCTTGAACCGGTTTAAAAAAAAAAACAGTATCAATTCATCCAATAGACCAATACACCCCAATTGGCGTCTCGATCGTTTCAATATTTTGAACCTTGGTCACTGGGTCAGGGTGGACTAGTTTCCAGCGTTCCTTTCAGTGGGCCGGTTGTCAAATAATCTTAACCCATGCCTTAGCAGCAACAGTCCGAGTGTTATCCTTCTGTAATTGGGCCTTCGGGCCTTTATATTATCCTCCTTGGTGGAATAATATTCGAGTGGATTGTCTATCCTTTGAGCCTCCTTGTGGCGTTTCATGAATGAATTTCCTCTTTTACGGTCTATATACTTATCCTCACAGACGTGTCTTCACTATCCATCATTCACGGAAGTTTATATCAGTAGACAGTAGCCCAAGAGATCGTTCGAGATTTCATCATCAGATCAAAATTCTTATTCTTTGTACATAAGAGGCCTATACTTCAAAGTTCAAACCCTTAGGCTATGTTTGGTCCCAAGGAAAAGGTCGAAAAAGGTAGAAAACTTATAAGAAATTTGTAAAGGTTTCTTTTTCTTTTTCAACTTTTTCTTTCAAACCAAACACAACCTTAATGCTTTCATCCTGCTAGGGTTTAGTACTGTGAAGATCAGAATGCATGTGCACTAATGTTTATCCATAGGTTGCGTGCTTAATTGTTAGGGTTGGGCCTCTCCGTCACCTCTGGGCCTCAATCAAACCCCATAGTCGACTATTGGCTGCCTGATGTAATCTTCGAAATAGCTTTTATCGTGTATTAATGGTCTGGCTGATCAGGATTCATGGGCATGCCCCCTTCCTAACAAAAGGTCCAATCCATGTCCAACTCCAACGCTGGAAAGGATCTTGCGTAATCTGGGTGGAACTCAGATCCAACGAACTGGGTCAGTACCTGATCATTAGCAAACCCGAATCAGGATTTTTTTTTTTTTCCAATTGAATAAGGAGTTATTAGGGATCAGATCAAAGTAAACTTAAGCATGGAGGGATACAGATTCAACGTAAATTTAGTTGGAACCTGTCATTCGCTGTCAAGCTTTGTTTGGTTGAAGGGTTTGGATATGAATTCAGCCCATTGACCGGGGCAAAACAGCCAGCTATTAGTGGGACGTAGCATACATACTATTACAGTATTACTGGCATTAGGATTTAGGACCCCCAAATTAAATATAAATTCCTGTTGAAAAAAAAAAAAAAAACAAAACAACAAAACATAAGACTGAAAGAACAGGCAAACAACCCTTTAAATAAGTGTTTTCAACATCTCGTTCACCCAACCTTAACCTTAACGGACCATTTGACCACAATCCAATTATAGACCCAACTTTGGACATTGGTTAACGCCTACGCCTTAACCCACCTTTACTCAAACCCATTGACTCGGTCAGAGACCCAAGGACTGGTCCTCCAACTTGGGCTGGGTTTGGTCAATTTTTGTTCATCTCTATTAATTTATGATGATTATTGGTAAACTATAATATTCATTGGAAATATTGCTAATTTATTGGTAAATTATCAATTTTTTTGAAGGCTCATATTTTAGTCTACCTATATGTGGGGTATATTTATAGATGTATTATTTTTCTGCACATTTATGAAATTACAGGTTTTGGGGGTAGTTTTTTTTTAATAGATATAATCTGGGGGGGGGGGGTAGTTGAACGAGTCGGCATCGGGTTGATTTTAAAAATACAGCAACGTTTTGCTTATAAATAAATGGAAAAGTGACAACCCACCAAACCGGATATAACTGTACGGCTGCTTCTCCCGGAAATTTCCTTTTAATTCTCCTCGATTTAATACTCAAAATAGTAACCCTGTTCCATTTTTGCGTGTGAAACAAAGGAAAATCAATGGTGGAAGGTGACTCACGAGTCACTAACCCAGGCATTGTATCCTGATGCACGTCGGACGGTAAACTGTGTGGATCTGCAAAAATATATCGTAATCCATCCAAAACTCTAAAAAAAGAAATGAGGACGACAAGACAGCATTTGGCTCCTACTCGTCGGACTACCTTGCTTTCTGCCAGGATCCGCTTCTTTGCTATATAATCTTTGCTTCGAGTGTCGGTCGGTGCAATGCCATTTCATATTTCACATCTTAAATTCATAATGGTTCATACTTTTGTTTTTTGTCAACAAAAAGTGATTAATTCAAGTGATGATAGTACTAATATGATTGATCAATAAAGTATTAGAGTTAAAATAATATTTTTATATTAAAACAGGAAGAAACTTTTTTGTCTTATTAGAAATTAGAGTGTGGTCATTTGTGCTACAGTAGTTATCTTTTAGAAATTATGGTTTTGTTTGGTTTTAACTGCCGGTTTGAGTTTGAGGCATATTTTTACCGGCGGGCGACTGCCGACAAAACCCTTTGCCGGCGGTCAGGGAATTTATCACAGACCGCCTACAAATCTTGTTTTTTTTTTTTTTTCCTTTGTAACGCATGAATGTATGTTAGAAAATGAAATGAATAAAAAAAAAGGAGGCCAATACAAAATTTTCAAAGAAATGAGCTGTGTTAATTACTTTTAATTTTATGTTATATCTTGTATGACCACTAACTTACATAATACAATCAGAAAATGCATTAAATATTTGTGAGGTTCCAACATTGTAACATAGATAGAATTCAATTCATTTTGAATGTTAAGAAAGGGGGAAATGAGGTCATTTTGAGTTTATCCATAAATGAATTACTTCCTTTTTAGGGTATGATGAACTCATGGGTTGAAAAATGTGGAATAAATAGTAGGCAAGTTGATTTCATTCCATATAAAATAATTAATACCCCATTAATTTAAAATGGGAAGCCACCTAAGTGAAAATTCAAGACCTTCGCTTGAGCAATTACTCAAGTACTATCAAGTATCAACACACCCATTTTTTCCCGCAATGAAAAAGCACATGTTTTGCAAATTAAGGTTGTGTTTGGATGAGTTTTAGCATTTGTGCTTCTAAAGCCCAACAACACAAAGCCCCAATTTTAGGATTTATGTTTTGGGGGGCAAAAGTGTTTTGACTTTACATTGTTTTGTTTTTAAAAGCAATTTTTATCTACGGGTGGATTCGAACCAAGTCAAGTCGAATAGTTAGCTATGCGAGCTCGGCTTGCCAAGGTAGTATGAGGCTCGAGCTAAAACCTTGAGTTCAGACTTGGCTTAAGTCAAAAGCTCGTAAACTTGAGCTCAATAGCCTCGACTCAGCTCGAGGTTGACTTGAGAAAAATATTTTATAAAAATAAAAAAAAATTATATATAAAAAATATTTTTCATTTGATATTTAAAAAATTAAGAATTATAATAATTAGTTATTATTATATATATTATTTTCTTTAGTTTTATATTATTATTATTATTATTATTATTATTATTATTATTATTATTATTATTATTATTATTATTATTATTATTATTATTATTATATGTATGCATGCATGTATGTATGTAGCAATTCAAGCCGGCTTGCGAGTCTCATGAGCCAAGCTTTATTAGGCTCAAGCTCGGCTCGATTAATAAACGAGCTTATAAATTGGGCTCAAATTCGGCTCAAAGTTTGGTTGAAGCTGCACCAAGCCAAGCTTTTCATGAGTCAAGCTCGAGTAGCTCATGGCCACCCCGACTCTTACCAAAGGTTTAAAACACTTACGCGCTCATATATCATATATGTTTCCCACAAACTAAAGTTTAAAAACAAAATCTTATATAAACAGAGCCTAATCTTATCAAGACATCCACTTTACCTTTGAAACTTATTTTTCCAATTAACGGACTGGACCATTTTGCAAATTGCAAAAGCTGTTAAATAATGCTGAAATTTGATTTAGACTTGGTTCTCTTGCCCGGCAACATTTTTCAAGTTAAATGCATTTAGCCATATTCTTTTTTTTGGCACCAATTATTTCTTCCTTTGTTGTCAGTTATCACTTTAATTATTGGGTTTTCAGGGCGTTTTAGTCTTACAATAGTTTGGGACTTTGGATAACCTTCCTCTTCCATGGGAAAGGGAAAATGATTTACCCATGTAGAAAAAGGGTAACACACTAATCCAAGGAAGTGGGCCTAAAAGTTTACCCGAGGGAAAATGCACTTTTATGGGCCCGTAGTTTCCTACAAAATAATGTAGGAATTGACCAATTTTCCCCTATTGTATATAATCTAAACAATGAACTTAGTGTAATTACCCTTATAACCTTTGATTAAAAGCCACTGTAACCTCTATTAATGGTTGGTAAAACTCCTTAGTTTCAAGGCAGAAATTTTATAGTTATCGTCCCATGAAAAGGAAAAACATAGCCTGGGATGTGCTCAAATCAATTCCCTTTTTTTGTAAAGCTTGTAGGTGATCGATTCCACTCATCAATCAGATAAACCAACTTACATGGTTTCAACATAGTTACCAAAAGCTAAAGCTAAAGTGTTGGAAAGGAGAGCTCTGCAGTCTGCACTCCCCCCAATAAGAGTTTGTTTCGCTAGGGCATAGGACTGGACTCCAAGAGAGCATGAGTAATACCTCTTGCATCTTCTTCCACTACAACCAAACGGAGGTCCAATGAGAACCAAAGCGCCTTGAAATAGAATAATAGCCACGCAACATTTTTAGCCGAGCAGTGGCTAATGGACTTGTGACATTCCTTATTTTAAGGATTTATCTCTTTTTTGCTATTAAAAATTCAGTGTCGATAAAGGCATTTTGACTGCAAAAACATACTATAGGGCAAAATCAAAATTTTGCACTCAACATATACATATTTTATATTTATACTCCTTCTAAACTGATCCAGTTTGAGTCTTATTTCATTCAAGCACAATATTTCTGACCAGTTTGAGTTTAATTTAGAATTTTAGTATTTTTAATAATCTTACTAATTCATAGAAGTCAGGAATCATACATAAAAAGATTATTGTGTAAGATCAATTTCAGATAACTTAGGCCCTATTTGGTTTGTGGGAATAGGGGTATGGGATGGGTTATTCCGATTCTAACTGTTTGGTTAGACAAATTGAAATCCCATTCTCATTCCTGTTGGAATGGCATTCATCCATTTAAGGAAATGGCCATTCTCTGCCCCACCCATGGGAATGAAATATCATTTCTGTCAATTCCAATTCCCATCCCCATTCTGATTCTGATTCTGAAGGATTTTGATTTTTTCAATTCCGATCATGAACCAAATGGACCCTTAATACAGTTATCTTTGAATTTTCTTTTTCCTCTTCTTTTCTTTGTATATTCAAAACTTTAAAAAAAAAAAAAATACACACACAAACACACAAGAATAGTGCTTTTCTTTTTACCTGATTTCTACTACGTCAAATCTGAACTCTTTTTGCAATCCTATTTGACCAGTATCCTTATAAAACTCCAAACAGGTAAGGAACCAAAATTGGGATTAAGCTGCTTCGTTTCACCTTAATTGCCTCAAATGATTAATGTAGGGTTCAAGCGTCTTTATAATCCTTTCCATGGTTTTAAAAAAATGATTCGGAAATGGAATTGTTCATGCCACTGGCTTTTGGGTTGATGGTTCGATTGTCCGATTCGAATAGATGGCCTGTTCTAACAATAAAAATTAAAAAATAATTAAAAATAAAAAAGGCCAAAAATTGTTGAATGGGTTGACGGATTGACGATTTGACTACCCGAGTCAACAGGTCGTTGACCAATTCAACAGTTTTTTGACAGGGACCGGGTTTGGGGTAAAACAGAACTAATTGTCTGGACGTTCCCAGGCCGAATGATCTGACTGTTCAGGTCAATGGCGGTTCGAAAACCATGATCCTTTCTATTCTCGGAAAATTTGAACCGATGGTAGAATTGATAACTAATTACTAAATCAATAGTGGAAGCTGAATTTTTTGCCATCTATCAAAGAATCTCTCAGGCACACCAGTTGGAATATCTCATCTTTTCATCTGTTCAGATTCTCAGTCCGTTGTTCAGGCTCTTCAAAGTCGTTCTTCGTAACACTGGTCAACCTTGGGACTATTAACAGAGACACAAACTCTTCTTTCTTCTTACGGTTAGACTCAGGTTCATTATAATCATGTTTGCTTAGGAAAAGTAATTTTCAAGGTTTTCAAAATCGGACTGGATCGGACGGTCGGATTGAAAAAATCAGGAACTGATCCAGTTTCTCCAAAAACTGGATTTTTCTCTAAAACCATTAATTTTGGTCAGCAAACTGCTGAACCGGGCGGTTAACCGTTCGAATGATTTTCACTGATTTTTATTTTTTTATTTTTTTGTCAGAACGGGTCAAACATTCGGTTTGAACGATCCGACCATTTAACCCGATAACGGACCCTTGACCAATTCGGTCTCGGATCGGTTTTAAAAACCATGATAATTTTGATAAGAAATGCCAAAGGCTTTGCCTTGATCCGGAAAGGGGAAATGTTGGAATGTATTAGATAAAAAAAAAGAATGCATTTTAATAAGAACAATAGAAAGGAAAATTTTCAAAATTTATTCCATTTTTTGTATGGACTAATATCATTATGAGCTCAAAGAAAGAACACAATGTAGAAACAAAAAAAAAAAAAAAAGTAAATTCCATCATGATGGCATTGAAAAACTTAATGTGAAAAGACAAAATTCCACCTGGGTCCTAAGTCCATTTTCAAATCTATGTTCTTTAAAGCTCAGCATCGGTCCATAGGAACAAACTTGTAGAGTGCAGGCTTTCCGTGGTATGGTCAGTAGACCTCACATGCACCCTGTTCTGTCCTCGTCCCTCTGTCCATACATAGATTTGAGGGACTATCCAATTAATCAGATTATAATAAATAAAAAGAAATGATAATTGAATTTAACAAGATTGTACAAAAACAATTAAACTTGAGTAGGATATGTTTTATTTATTTATTTTATATCATACTTAGCAGCCTGTCTTCCAAATAATAACCTTTTTTTTATGACTTTCAGAAGAGAAGAAGGACAAATTGTGTTATCAATTTTTACTTATAATTCCTATAAAGTGTGTAAGTCTTTTCAACACAATTGATCACAAATTATGGGTTATATAAAAGTATACCTTATGATTGCAGTAAAAATGAATACAGGATCGAAGTAGCAGAGTGTACCACCACAAAAAGGATATATCGGATCAGGCGATCAGCCCATCTCTCATACCCCACAAATCTCCACCCAAACCCAAATTTGATAAAGGCGGAATTCAATCCACTGCTCCAATCTGCAGCAGATTTCGATAACAACCTAGCTGACAGCTTCAGATTTGAACGCATATTTTACCTTACTCTAGCTTGATTTATTGAAAACTATGCATACGGCAAACTAATAAAATAATTCGAACATTATAATTTACTAATAAAATGAACAAATTTCATGAGACCTGTAGCAAATAACTCTCTATTAAGCATGCAACATTCAAACCAATTTTACTAATAGATGCATTTGATTTTATGCATAAGTATAAATACAAATGTTCGAATATTATCGGATTGGGGTTGGGGCAGATCATATTGGTGTATTATTTGTATTCGTATTTATATTCAATTTAATGAAAAAAAAAGGTTCAAAGTCGGACATTGTACACGTTTATGAATACCCCTTAGAATAAGTCCTTAATCTTGTATGAGGAATGCTAATCATGGTTCAAAACACGGTTTTTAAAATTGACTCGGTGACCGGTTCAGTCAGGGGTCCGGTTACTGGGTCGAACAGTCCAACTATTCGAACCGAATGTCCGGCCCATTCTGACAAGAAAATAAAAAAAAATTAAAAATAAATAAATAACGGTCAAAATCATTTGAATGATTCAACGGTTCGTTGATCAAAATCAACGGTTTTGAAGGAAAATTCAGTTTTTGGAAAAACGGAACTGGCCAGGTGACTGATTCCTTTTTTTTTTATCCAACCATCCGGTCCGGTCTAATTTTAAAAACCATGGTTCAAAATATCATGATGTGTTACGTACCCAATTTAAAATTTTTTCGAATTGAAAAAATGAATATTAGTTGTTAAAAACTCTGAATACACAATTTTTTTTTTTTTTATATCTATAGCATCGATACTTTGAACCAGGATACTAACCAGACTTTGTTAATATTAATTGTTTAAACACTTGTATTTGAGTAAGCTTAGGATTTATAGTATGGGGCTTAAAAGTGTTTTGGCTTTAGATTTATCTCTCTTTTAAAAGGGAAAATCATAGTCGAACCCCTTTTCCACATCATTTCTTTTCCATATGAGATAAGTCGAACCCCTTTTAAAAATAAACTTTTATCAAATTCTCAGCACTTTTTCGGTTCATGTGTTTCCCAGGACCCAAACCTACAAAATAAACATTCATCCAAACGGAGCCTTGTCACGCCAGTGAGTGTTTTGGTCGTAATTACACTACCCTTAATCGTTAATTCGTTATATGTACACGTAAAAAGCCCTCTGATTTTACAAGGAGATGATTCAGAACGCAGTCTCTTGCTCGACATGTTAAACAAAAAGAGCAGCCAACCATCGGATCAGTATCATTGCAAGTTGCATCACCTTAGATTTAGATGCTTTTGTCATGTTACCTTTCCAGGGATCCCACAACAATTCCAATCTAATGGTTCCAATTCCATATCGAGCCTGCGCATCCGAGGAAACAAATCTCCGTTTTGAATTAATCAGACAGTGACCTCGCTGTCATTACTCATCATTACCCCCCAAACGCACTCAAGCTCAACAAAAAATGATTAGTCTTTAACTCTTTATTACTTACCGAATGTAATATAATATATACCCACTACTTTGTGCGAGCCCAGCCCAAAGCCCATTTGACATAGACGTTATAACTTACAACAAATGCAGGGAAATCAGCAGAAAACTGCTTCATGCTATTCATCTGATCAGAGTTCACAGGAGCCCACTACTCATCCATTCAATATGAGAGAGAGATTCGTTTACGCTCCAGTCCCCACGTTTAACTCTTGGATTGCGGTTTTTTCTTTTCTGCAACAGAAATTTCAGGGCTATGATTCGAAACTTATATTTGCAAAATTTTTATTATGAAAAAAGTATAAGTATATATATATCCAGAAAAATCCAAAAAACACGTCGAATACTACAGGTACCATTTGTCTCTTAACTGTACTATGACCCTTCACCCTCCTTCGCACGTGCCACTCCTTAAAATGCCACGTCATGTTATGATGATGATGCGTACCAGGAAGATGATTCCCATCTAATGGTAGTCATGATATGGAGAAAGAAAAAACAGTGAATAGTCTGAGTCGAGATGAGATGAGATGAGGTCATAGAGAGCCACTGAATAGCTTCTGCCATATTCGTCTTTAATAGCTTATCCTACGCCTACCGCACTCGAGCTCTCTTCATTGTTGTATCTGCAACTCGAACCACAAGGAAGAAGAGAAAATAAAATCAAAATGGGGGAGGTATGCAAACCATAGCTTCCACCTTCTTCTTCTTTTCCATCTATCTATCTGTTCTGTGTTTTTTTCCATTCTCTTTTATCGATTTTGGATTTGCTGACTGGTGACGGACTGACGGTATCGTTTCTTGTTTCAGGAAGAGAAGAAACCGGAGGAGAAGAAAGTAGAAGATCAGAAGAAAGTAGAAGAAGGGAAGAAACCAGAACAAGAGAAGAAGGAAGAAGCCAAGCCCGATAAGTCAAGTGGGGAGACGAAGGAGGAGAAGAAAACAGAGGAATCCAAGGATTCCAAGAGTTCAGAAGAAGCCAAGGAGAAGGAGCCCCCTCCTGCACCAGAAGAAATCGTTCTTAGAGTCTACATGCATTGCGAGGGGTGCGCTAAGAAGGTCAAGCGAAGCTTGAGGGGATTCGAAGGTTCGTGTTTAAGAGATCCATTTTGATTTTGTCTAACTCTGTGAGAGGTTATTGAATGTGGGTCTCGCCCTTTTATTTTTGTGTTGTTTGTAGGCGTTGAGGACGTTCAGACCGATTGCAGGACGCATAAGGTGGTGGTTAAGGGGAAAAAGGCAGATCCGTTGAAGGTGTTGGACAGAGTTCAGAAAAAGAGTCATAGGCAGGTGGAGCTGCTTACTCCGATCCCGAAACCCCCGGCCGAAGAATCTAAGAAGGATGAAGAGAACAAAGAAAATGTTAAACCAGAGGAGAAGAAAGAAGAGGTTAGTTCATCTTAACATAAAAACGGTCGTAAAGAGAAAGATCTTCAGATCTCTCTGATTAGCTTCTAAAGATTCCATCTTTTATTCATTTCAGTTTAATTTCCAGGATTTTTCTTTGATTCTAAGTTGGTGTTTGTTTTATGCAGCCGCAAGTGATTATAGTAGTTTTGAAGGTCCACATGCATTGCGAAGCCTGCTCTCAGGAAATCCGAAAGCGCATACAGAGAATGAAGGGTATATTCTTTCTCCGATTTTCGGTTCCATATGGCCTCTGCATTCTGGGACCTTCTTTCCATCATTTCGCTGTTTTCTTCAATTCTATTTTGAATTGCAATGCGATTCCAGCGAGATCTAGAGGCATCTAACAGTTGTTATGTATTGTTTTTTATTATTTTCATTTTCTAATTAAAAAATGAAATGTTTTATTGATTCTTACTTTAATTAGTCTTTCGAATCTTTTTTAAAAAGGGTCCAAAAATTCTTGAGTTTTTTTTTTTTAATTTGGTTTGAATATTCAGACCTTAGAAAGCTTTGAACCTTGGTTTGGTAGAATGGTAGTAGAAGTCGAGTGTTCTTCATTTTCAAGCCAATTTCTACTCTGAACGTACTTGGCTTCCTCATCGGTCATCTCGAAAGAGAATATTTCACAAATGTCAAATTCAGCTGGGTGTTTGGAATTCCTAATAAAGCTGGAATTAATTCTCAGGTCCGTCGCGCGTTTTGGAAAATTTTGCTTATTAAATGTGTTTATCTTTCCAGCTGCAACACAAACGAAAGAAAAATCTCTTTAAATACAAGAATTAATGCACTCAGAAAGATGTGTACTTTTCAGGGGTCCAAGCAGCGGAGCCGGATCTGAAGAGCTCACAAGTAACGGTGAAGGGCGTGTTCGATCCACCAAAGCTGGTGGAATACGTTTACAAGAGGACGGGGAAACACGCAGTGATCGTGAAGCAGGAGCCGGAGAAGAAAGAGGAGGAGAAGGGGAAGGAAGGGAAGGAGGAAAAAAAAGAGGAAGGCGGGGAGAAAGAAAAAGAGAAAGAGAAAGGAGGGGAGGGCGAGAAGAAGGAGAAGAAAGAAGGAGAAGAGGAAGCGAAAGCAGAAGCAGCAGCCGCAGCCGCAGCAGAAGAACAAGACTCCAAGGTAGAGATGAAGAAGAACGAGTTCTACTATTACCCCCATGGCTACATCCCCAGGTACACTGTATACCCATACCCATACCCTCCCCAGATTTTCAGTGATGAGAACCCCAACGCATGTTCAGTTATGTAAAAATTGTGGAGCACCAGGGGTAGAAATGTAATTGGGAAACTTACCTATTTCCCTGCTTCCCTTGGCCAGTTGCCTCTCTCTCTCTCTCTCTCTCTCCTGTCTTTACATATAAAATAGGAGATTCCTGTTTAGTTCCTCTCTCACTCTCACTCTCTCTCTCTCTATCTATTGCCATAAATCTACAGGGAAAAAACTGTAGAGTTTTGTGAGGTTTTGTACTTTTTCTCTGGTTATATTAATTGTTGTTACTATATATAAATAGTATAAAATATGGAAAGAAAATGTGGTACATGGGTTTTGTAGTTTATTGGGTAGCTTGCTTCATTTATGTGTGGAAATGAATGAATGAATACTAGTAAGAGGACCAGCAAAGGTGGGCTGTAAAATGCAAAGAAGTTGGTGGAGGGACTATTCATGTACTGAAATCAATGTAAAAATCACTAATATTTCTTGTACTAATAATATAAGATAATTTTTCTATTCTAAAATAAAAAAAAAGAGGCTAAGATCCATCTCATCCATGGAAGCAAATTGCCCGGCAGGTGGTATACCGTAATACTTAAGTGAAGTATAGAAAGCTATTATGCTTCACTGTGGTGCCATTTATGAATATGACGAAAGAAATAATGAAATATATATAGCATATTGGCATATCATGGCTGATGGCATGGTCCTCTCCTCTTCTATGTATTATTATTAGTCGATTGTGAGTTAAATGATAATGGAGGAATGGGCGTATTCATCATATATAGCACTTTGCACCACACGATTAGATTGGATTGTTAGGGTTATAGTATAGCCTTATAGGTTATAGGGGGTTGTTCTTGGTTCTGGGTAAGGGGATAGCCCCTCCAATCTCCATAGTCCATAGTCCATAGTCCATAGTCCATAGTCCATACCATTACATGACATGATGGCCTTATGTTAGCCCATGCCCATCTTCTAGTTGTGGGAATGCAAATGTTTGGCCGAGGATTTGTGGTTGGATGTCTCATGTCTGTCTACACTGGGAGAGGGGAATACAATTTTGAGTCGGTGAATTTGTTAGGTTCGTTCCACTTCCACATATGATATCATCACTTGCTCACGGGGGAGTTTTAAATCTGTGTTTTATTTTAAAAAAGCAGACTCCAGGGCCAGGCATGGGGATTCTGGAAAACGTTGAAAGTAGGAACAAACCACCCAAACCGATACAACTACGTACACTGCTGGGTTTATGATTTGAGTGCCCAGAACTGAAAGATGTTGAAGAAGAAAAAGGAGCAAGAGAAATTAACGATGGCCCGCAACGCTCACTCATCAGTGATCAGACCCCGGGCTTTTCAGTTTTCACCATGTGCGTGCCACGACATGGAGATCAGAGATATGGGTTCATCAGATCAGATCAGAGCACGGAACTAGGTAATAAGCTAGATAAAAGATAAAAGAATTTGGGTGGATGGTGGGTGGCGTCTGTTAAAAAGTTTTACCATCATTTCAGCCTTTTTTCTGAAACAGGGCACAAACCAAACCAAACCAATCCATCCACATTCATGATTCATGATTCATGTTCAATTGTTCATCATCCATCCATTTTCTTTGTCTAGTACTGTTGCCTCGACATCTGCAAAAGAAAAAAATTCCGCCGCCAAAAATATAAATAAAAAATGAGTTGTGATTTGTGAACCCTTCCCTCCATCAATAATCACGATCCATCTCATCTCAACTCATCATGTGCTTTCTTTATGGGGGTGGGGTCGACGGAATATTATTGATTCTCTTTGGTCCCACTACCCACGTGATTCTCTTTCTCCCACTCTCACTTGATTTAATTGTTTCCTTTTTTAAATAAAACTCACCACCATGGATCTCTTCTGTTGCCTGCCATTGTTATGATTTATGAATATACGATGGATTGGCCAAGGCAATTCAACGCAATGCACTACCGTAATTTGTATTGTTCTTTATTCACAGTTCAATTACTAAAATGCCCCCGCTGCCTCTATGTAATATGCTCGTCTCATGTAGTTGTTGTGTGCTTTTATCAGCTATTTCTAAAATCCCATTATGATTATGTATTTATGTCCTCTTCCAATTTTCTTCTATTTTTATCCCTTTTCTACATCAACCCAACTTTTTCAGTCATGATTTTCTAGCTAACTATAGATTTGGATCATTGATCTCATGCTTATATAAGACCCAGTCAACCAATTCCAGCCACCCATGTGATGTACCCTTGTCCTATAAGGCACCCTCCCCTCCTTTGTGCCTGATGAGGCCCTAGCTAAGATCAGGAGTCAGGACCATTTACATTAAAATTTGTGGGCCCTGATCATCCTAGTGTAGGAAGTAGATTGTGGGCTCCTGTGTCCCGGACCCAACAAGGACAGAGTACTTAGGGCATGAAATGGAGCATTTAGTTTTATGGAATTGGGCTGTTATAGAGAGCATTTATAAGTGAAATACAAAGGAGGTGGAATGTGGACAAGGGAAGATAGTCTGTCCCGCTACTGCTAGTCGTTGGTGACTGGTGAGATTGATTTGTAGGCATCACATGGCAACTGCACTACTGATGTTTTAATATGTCCACGCTTTTCCTACTCACGTAGGACCAACCTCTGTTAATCGTTAATTATTGCAAATATTCCTCCTACTTTTATGTCTCCTTAATAATAATATGGTAACAATGTGCCCAATAATGGAATACCTATGTTTTTTTTTTCTCTCTTATTTTAAGGGTTCATAATTGGATTATCCTACTTGTTAATTAGGCTTAGGCTCAATTTTTGAAAACGTAGCAACTAGCAAGTGTTTCTTAGTTTTAGCCCCAAATCTGAGCCATTAATCAAAACTGATGAATAGATCATGTCAGACCTTTCTGATCTCCACATCAACTTGCCACGTGGTAGATTCTTTTGGTCATTCTCCCTACACACTATAGTGTGTTTTTTGTTTCGAATGGTACAAAAATATATAATTATATTGTAAGAAATACAAATGTGGGTAAGTGTACGGGCTGTGAACCTGCGAGCTTTGTGTAATAACAAAATAGAAAAACAATAGAGAGAAATAAAAGGAGACATATGGAAAAGAAAAGCATAATCGCTTTTTAGCCGCATACTAGCCCGTGCGATGCACGGGTAAAAATAAATGTAAAATTCAAAAATATCATTAAATTCACTAATGCAAATCAAGTATGATAAAAAAAAAAAAAAAAATCTAACTTGGGATGAATATATGGTGTTGACCTCAACTTGAGAAGGACATGGATTTAGGTCTTTAGTAGCTACAATCTAATCCAAACCCATATTGGCAGTTGGCATCTTATACCTTGTCAATTGTCTCACTTATTGATGATCATATCCCACTGCCACTAGGGTTAGGGGGTTAAGGGGATGAGGGATGGGTTACCCTCATTTTGTGTAGCCCCATAAAATATAAGAAAAAAAAAGAAATAAAAAAAAAATGAATGAAAATTTTTAATCAATGGTGTTGGCAACAAAATGGAGACACTATAGTATAATAATATTTTGACTTTTTTAGTGAATATAATATTTTTACATTATTTTATTGGCGCACTAGGGAACTTTTAACTTTATGAAAACTTTCGTCCCCCATTTATATTTACGTTGATACTATTAAAGGGTCAAAAACATTTCTTTATTCTACCTAACCATTTTTAACGTGGGCTATTGTTATGTGAGTTCACTTTCTCAGTACTCAACTTATAAATACGTAATAAATTTATATGTCAACTTAAAAAAAAAAAAGAAGAAAATCCAGCCTTAATAGTTAATACAATGTATAGGCCATTGAAGTGTAGTAACTACGGTCTTTGGAATACCTTTTATCATCTTCCTCAAAACTCTCATCACCGTTCCTCTCCCTCCAAAGATTAATTACAATCTTCGCTTTCAAATTCACTTTTCTATTTATCTCTTTCCCTCACTCAAATGAAAATGCCTTTAATTATTCTATCTTCAAGGCCAACACGCCAATGGTGAATGTTCTTAACAGATTATAACTTAGACCTTTTGGGTTTAGGTGATGGAATGGGGTATGTCTTTCCAATTTATACCACTGGTTAGGCATAGTATTCACTTTCTAAGATACCATAAGTTTAATAAATTGGTTTGATTTTAACAATGGATCATAAAATAGATAAGAACTTTTATTCTTCTTTGGTGGTAACTAAACAATGGATCAAAATCTAATCTTGCTTTTTTCTCCAAAACCATCCAGCCACACTATTCGCCTTCATCTTCTTAGTTGTTGGTTATCTTCCTCTTCACCTACGATTTTGCTACTGTAGTAAAGATAGGGAGAGGGCTAAGTTCTATTTTTACGATTTTTAAATAAAAAATGATTTTATTTTCTTTCAAAAGCATATGAAAGTTTCTTCCCGTAAGCAGTTTCTTGCTTTTGTTTTCTATATTTCACTTTTGATCAAAATTAAACATTCATATAATTTTGATTATGATTCCTTATTTGGAGAAGATATACTTCTTATGGTCCATTGAATGTGAATCCCCTTTATAGACAATCATAACGTGGCTATAATAAATAATTGAATCCTTCTTATTGAGTCTACTGCCATCTTTCACCCATAGCTAAAAAAAGTATCCAAACAAACCCTAAATTAATATTAAGCCTATAATAAGATTCTTATTATCTAACTAACGGGTTCAACTATGATATGGGAAAAACAAATAACCAATAAACTAGAATCATAAACGTGATAATGATTCAGGTGTTATTTATCAAAATTCATGGGTGGGTTTTGATCGGTCAAAATTCTTTCCATACCATATCTTTCCCATATCATAGATTTTCCCCTAACTAAAATTCATATTAGTTCAATAAGAGGTGTCTTTTGTATTCTTTTCCAATTTTCGTGTTTAGATGATTTTACATGCAACACGCTAATCCTAAGTGAGGTTCATGCATTTTTTATTTTTATTCTAAATATCAGGATGACTTAATAGAATAATTGATTGATATATGATTTCAGCAAAAACCATAAATAATGATAAATTATTGGTTATGGGATCTCCAATCACCGTTTACAGAATTTATAGACGGTTGCAATGTATAAAATGAAAATAGTCTTGTCCAATTAATTTCTAACATGTTCTATTCTTTTGCACTGTTTTCTTCATGATAGAGGTTTGGTAATTAAGAATATAGTATTTTAATTATATGCAGAAGCGTTGGGTGGGTTGGGGAAAGGAAAATGAAAGAATTTCAAACTGAGGTTCCACTTTCCCATGGAAATCCTTCTTTTATATTTATTGCAAATTGCAACTGTTCACTGCTTGCTGTTGTCCA